GGGCTGTCGGTACGAGGCGGGTACCCGGAGGTCTCCCCGGCCGCCCCAGGGGCTGAAGCCGAGCTCACCGACCCTCCCGGTCAGCCCCGACTCCCCAGAGCTGGCCGGGCTCGGGTTCCCCGGTAGCCGAACCTCCCTTGGTGCTTTACACACTTAAAAGGTTTTTCTTCGCAGACCTGGCAAAATAAACCTGTTCTGAAGTTCCAAGAGCTGTGTGGGATGCGCGCAGAAGAAGGAAATGGGCCTTACTTCAGGGTCTGAAAAATCACTGTTTTTCCTGGTGTATTTAATGTAATACTTTCTAAAGAGTATTAAGAAATACTCTTTAAGACAATGATCAAGGCAGGGATGTAAGATCTTACAAGGCCTTGAAGGGAGACAGATCTTAAGGACACCTTTGTACACTTCCAAACTCCATAAAAGGACAGGGCAGACTGGGATCTCTGGTTACTGTTGAAGTACAAACAATAACTAATAGCCACAAGAATGGCCATTTCTCTTAGAATGCAACAAAAACCTGGCTTGCACCCCGTAGTAACCATAAACATGTATCTGTTTCTTTTAGAGAAAGGGGAAATTGCACAACTGGAATGGCACAGCAGAAAAAGCAGCATGCAGTGTTTTATACACTCTGCTGCTGGTGGAGATCTGAGTCAGTAAGGAATGCCACCCCTGGCATGGGGAATCTTAAGCTGGCAGGATGGCTCCTGTGTTCCTGTTGGAGATCAGGAATTCATGGTGGTTTAGTGACTCTTGAATAAGACAGTCACATCAGTAAAATGGTGCTCAGACTGTGGGCCTCCTCCTTAATTCTAAAAGGCATCGTTGGTGGCAAGTTGTTTCAACAATAATTTCATTGTTGCTGTGTAATGACTCAACAGTAAGGACTTTTAATTTGCTGAACAGATTAGATGACCAAGTTCAATAATAAAAATCAGATTGTGAAGCAGCAAGTTTTCTTTTGTGCTTTGATTCAAAAGATTGTTGAAGCAGAATAACTGAGATGTTGTGAATGTACAGGGGACTGATGGGTTGATGTTGTGAGGGGAGCCAGTCTAACAGCTAAAAGGGGCAGTTATGCAGAAGTCTTGAAGATTATGGAAGTTAACATGCATTTATCAACATGGACCTCTGAATGGAACTCAAATTTAAACGTGGACCTTCTTCTTCCAAAAGCTTTCCAGCTGCTGAGCTGATCTTGCGTTAATTTCAACTTAAGCAATTTCATTTCCTTTGAAGAGTCCTAATAGTATCAACAGTGTTTGAAAAACTCACCACAAGACTGAGTCTCAGGAGACACACCAGATTTACTCGCACTGACCTCTGCTACAAAGCCTGGCCCAGCACAGGCCCCAGGCTCAATTCCTCCACAGCAGGCACCTGCAAGATGTTCAGAGTCTGCATCTCGAATTCTGACCCAGTTTTGCTTTTCACAGAGATCTGTGCATAGCACAGAGCAGTGGGAACGTCCAAGTGCCTGCTTGGCCACAAAACAAGGAGACCCAAGAGCTTGATGCCCACAAGCTGCGCTGGGGCCCCTAACAACCCATATGTCCCTTCAGTGCTTTGCCCCAGCCCTCTTACTTCACTCCTTCCACTGCAAAAAAACCAAAACACAAAAAAACCCCAAAAACAAAACAAAACAAAAAAACCTTAGATACCGAGAATTTGCTTTTCTAAAGTTCCATGTCACAGGCTGGAATGATGTACCTCAGGGCTTGCTGTTCCCTGCCCCCAGACACAATTAACTTCATGGGGCCTGATCTTGGACTAACATTAAGACCACAGATACCACACGGTTCTTCCCCAGGAACACCAAACGTGCATTTCCCCCCACCCGCTCCGAGAGCCGGTAGAGCGTGGGTCTGGAGCGGGCATGG